GTGTGTGTGTGTGTGTGTGTGTGTGTGTGTAGGAGAGAGCACAACTAAGTGTGATTGAAGACTGCAGGGAAAGATCTAGTGGTAAGAGATTGGCTGAAGCTGAAAAGACAGGGAGGGAGAGAGGAGAAAAAGTTAAATGATGCTGTGATCCTCCAATGTGTACTTTAAAAATATATATAATGTTATTTAATGTTGACTTCTGTTGTCCTAAAAGCAATGTCAACAGAGACTTTTTAAGTTATTATTGAATAACTTTTAGAAGCTGCACTTGAACTCGGTGAAGTCTCGGAGTCCAGATACTAGTATTTGAACCCCAACTCTAGCACTGACTTGCTTTATTATTGGAGGCTCAGTTTCCTTACCCATAAAATGGGTATAATCATAACTCCTTTCAAGTGCTATTTTTGGAGATAAAGTAAAAATAATGTGTTTTGCAAACTGTAAATTTATAGTAAATAAATACAAACTATATATAAATACAAACTGTAAATAACACTTACAACCTACTGTAAATGTTATTTAAAGATATCATGTTTATATAATAATCCAGGAGCTATCACCACTGCTTCAGAGAATGTGCCCCAACCACTGAGCACCGTACACCTCAGTGCCTCCATCAATAGAATCAGACAACTTAGGATCGTAGACCTCTCTAGAGGGCAGGTAGCATCTAAAGACGAATGATGTGGAAGAATTAGTTTAAATCTTTAGGATAAAAAAGATGTAAAACTAAGGTTGTAATGAACACTTTTTTCCCCGCAGTATTCTTAATGTTTTTTGAGATTTTTCAGAGCATAAGAAGGATGAAATCTTGCCATTTGCAATGACGTGGGTGGAGCTAGAGAGTATAATGCTAAACGAAATAGGTCAGAGAAAGACAAATACCATATGATTTCACTCATGTGGAATTTAAGAAATGAAACAAATGAGCAAAGGGATAAAAGAGAGAAAGAGGCAAGCCAAGAAACCGACTCTTAACTTATAGAGAACAAACTAATGGTTTCCAGAGGGAAGGTTGGTGGGGAGATGGGTTAAGTGTGTGATGTGGATTAAGGAGTGCACTTGCTGTGATGAGCTCAGGATGTTGTCTGCAGGTGTGGAACCACTACATTGTCAACCTGAAACTGATATTACACAGTATGTTAACTAACTGGAATTTAAATAAAAACCTTTAAAAAACAAACAGAAAAGGGAAAAAAGATAATTATGAAATAGTATTCATTTATTTATTTTTTGGTGTTGATATTATATCATTTCTTTTTGGATATAGAGATATATGCAAAGAAAGGTAAATCTACTGGGCGCCTGGGTGGCTCAGTCGATTAAGCGGCTGCCTTCGGCTCAGGTCGTGATCCCAGGGTCCTGGGATCGAGTCCTGCATCAGGCTCCCTGCTTAGCGGGGAGCCTGCTTCTCCCTCTCCCTCTGCCTGCTTCTCTGCCTACTTGTGCTCTCTCTCTATCTCTCTGTCAAATAAATAAAATCTTAAAAATAAAAAAGAAAGGTAGGGCGCCTGGGTGGCTCAGTTGGTTAAGCGACTGCCTTCGGCTCAGGTCATGATCCTGGAGTCCCGGGATCGAGTCTCGCATCGGGCTTCCTGCTCAGCAGGGGGTCTGCTTCTCCCTCTGACCCTCTGACCCTCTTCCCTCTCGTTCTATCTCTCATTCTCTCTCTCTCTCAAATAAATAAATAAAATCTTTAAAAAAAAAAGAAAGGTAAATCTACTAAAGATTATTAATGACTGAATCAAAAGGGTTTTTGTTCTTTGTCTTTTTTTAACAGTCCCAATTGTGGGCATCTGTTATCACACTTCTCTCTTTTATTACTCCAGCAACCACTTTGCTAAGGAGTTAAGCCACCAGAAAAGTATTGGAAAATTATTTTGTCACTATGTTTCATGCTATATGACCACAGGGAAAAGGCTGGAGCCAAAAAATCACTAAAAAGTAATAGCCTGTGTACTAACAGACATTGCCAAATGTTTATTTTCTTCTGTAGTTACAGATGCAGTGATGAGACCTCTACCTGGGGCAATACCTGTCATTGGCCTTCATTAAAATGTTTAAAAAAAAACAACCAAAAAACCATGACAGAATTCCCACTGATACCAACAGTTTGAGTGACCTTAAGCATATCACTCCATCTCTTGAAACTTCTGAGTCCCCAGCTTTTAAAGAAAGGCAGTGAGGGGATTCTAGCTGATTCTGAACTGAGCGACAGTTGTAAATGTATATGAGCATTTTTTTTTTTTTTTTTTTAGCGGCCATAGCCCAGCAATGCTAAATGCCCTGCAGAGAGCATGGGGCAATCCTGCATAATACACTGTCCCAGCCAAAATGCCCCCAGCAGCCTGAAATAGCCCGAATGTCCCTTCTTACAGTCATGATACCAAGTCAAGTATCTGTCCATTCATTAATTCATTCAACCACGCATTATTGAGCCCCTACTGTATGCTGGGCACCAAGCTTCCCTAGCTGAATATTCCAGAAACCCTGGTTCGAATTGTATCCTTCTTTATCTTTTCCCCTTCCTTTTAAAGGTCTTCCCCATCCATAGGACCACGTGACATGTACAAGTAAGGATTTTTCAGTTCAACCCATTAAAGGAATAGACCAGGACTCATCCACTGCTTTGGGGTTTCTAATGACATTGAGAACCAAAAAGGCTCCCTCAGTCCTCCCCAAAGTTTGAATGTTGGCCTGGTTTGCCTTTAATAATTCAGGAATGGAAGCCTTCAGCTCCACTGACCAAAGGCTTCCAGTTGGACAATGAGATCCAAATCGTGGGGCATGTAGCTAAATATTTCAACTGTTGATTCAGTCATTTCTAATTTTTCAAACAAAACACCAACTGTTTTTTGTCCAGTGAATAATTTTCACTGGCAAACTCAAATTTCCTAGTATACTTAAATGGCATTTGAAGCCAGTTGTACTAACTGCCTTGGAGCGTTTTACCATATCAAGTAGGATCATTAACTTGCTAATTAACTGTGCAGTGAGCAACCCTGGGCTATCCTGCAATCCTAGCAGCCGCCACCCTGATGCATGGTCCCTCTGGGGGTGCTGAGACCTCGGGACTCAGACCCCAGCCATCACGCCGTTACTCAGCATTCACATGGCCCTTCCTCACAGCACCCCGCGGGGAAAGCTTACAATTCTGATCGCTCCTGTTGCAAAGGAGACCAAGGCACAGAGAAGAGTGAGAGTCTGCAGGATCAAGAAAAACTTTAGGGATAGAGGGGATTTCTGAGTGCTGTTTACGGTGCCCAGAGTCAGGCTGATGGTCAGGCATGCTTTGCAAATATACAAACATTTTTCATCCTTTAATGAATCTTAGATGTTACTGATCATTAAAAATCCTGTATGTACTTATTCAGTCACTATCATTGAGATACTTCTCATGAACACAGCAGGGTGTGGGTACTGAGAATGGAGTCCTGCTCTCATAGACCTCTGGACACATGGGGATGTCAGACCTCGTGCCAGTCATTCTGTACTCATTACATATTGTTGCAGTTAACACTATAAGGGACACAGGACACGAGGAAAGCATCGATGGACCTGACTTAGCCTGGGAACCCAAGAGGCTCCCTTGAGAAGTCTTTAATGGGTTGAACTGAAAAATCCCTAAGCGCAGGCCTGAAGGAAAAGGAGGCAGGAGTTCAGGAGTTCAGGTGGGGCATTCCAGATTGAAGACCCTAAGGCAGGAAGGAAAGGCTTATTCTAGGTAGGATAGGATGCCAGTTTCGTCCAGGTGGCAAAAACGGGAGAGGGTGTCATGAATGGATTTAAGATGTTTAGAAGATGGAATTGTCAGAACTTGGTGACCAACACGACATAGGCAGTAGGAGTGGGGCAGTACAGGGATCACTGCCCTGCCCTTGACTTCTGGGTGGTGAGGTCACTTGTTTAGGATTCTAGCAGAGGCGTGGTACCGGGCAATGGGACAGGAGCACCAGTTCCTCATTCAGTACACGGAGTTTGACGTCCTGTGGGACATAGTTTGTCTAGTGGAGAGCCTGCCTCACACGGAGTTAACAGACCAGCATTGAGACCCTTGTGATTTAGAAAATGTTTTCTCATCTATTATGTCTAAGCTTCTCAGTGAACTTTGGAGGAAGTCAGTGAGTTATTATCTTCATTATACTAGCAGGAAATTGAGGCTTCCTGAGTTAGCGATTTGCTTAAGGGCACACTGCTGTTAAGTAAGGATCTGGTGCTCAAATTCAAACCTTCCGACTCCAGGCACAAGAGTCCCCTCATTTGACCACGTTGACTTGCTACATGATTGGGGCAACTCTCTACCAACTCCTGGGGCTTCCATGTCAAATGTAATCTCAGGATTAGCATAAAATATGTAAGAAGTGAAATCAAAGGTGGTTTTTTTTTCTGTATCCTTTTTTCTTCCCTCTCTCTCTCTTTACTCTTTATTACAACAGTAATTTTTAAAGTATTGTAAACTTGAGAGTCATATTTGTATTTATATTTAGAGCAAATATATTTACAAGTAGTAAGGGGACAGTTATCTGGGAGAAATTAAGTTCAACTTTTGTCTAAATTATAATTGATAAAACGTGGTAAGACCTCTGCCTCCTCACCTCCCATCCCCAGATTTACTCCTAAAATAGAGGAACCATCTAAAATGGCTCAGCGTATTCTCCCCTCATGGGAGGTGTTCTGGGGGAGTCTGGGCACTGAGAAAGATGGGAGGGGGAGCTGCCCCAAAGCAGTCAGGGCAGGAGACCCTTCACCACCAGCCTGTCTCATCCATTGGCCTTTTGCCCTTTCCCTCAAAGCTTGGAAGATGTTTAAGTAAAGTTAGTTTGTGCTTGTTTCAGTCTGTTTGACTGAATCAGTTCTGGGTCTACACAGACACTCAGGTTCAAGGGAAATACCTTCTCTCTAGGGCTGTTTTTTTGTTTGTTTGTTTGTTTGTTTGTTTATTACATGGGAAGCTTCCCCCTGAACCTCCTGTTGTTGCTTACCTCCCTCCTTCCCTATAGCTCTTGGACTGCTTTGTGATCCCGGTGGTGATTTTGCTCTCCTGGTTCTTCCTGCTGATCCGGTACAAAGCTGTGCATTTCCTCGGCATCGTGGTCTGCATCCTGGGAATGGGCTGCATGGCAGGAGCGGATGTCCTTGTGGGAAGACATCAGGGAGCAGGTGAGTCCCTAGGTGTTCACCACATTATGTGCCTGTATGCGTGAGGCCAAAGCAAGACCCGGACATGTTCATGGTGGGGTAGAAACAAGGAACCTGGTCTTCCCAGTGTCTGTGTCTTACTCATGTTTGTTCCTCAACACCTTGAACAGTGGCACATGGGAGGTGCTCAATCCATGTTTCTTGAGTGAATGAAGGAGGCAAAATGCAAATTTTCTGCCCTATCTACATGTATTCAGAAACATTCAGATGGTGTTTAAAACTGGGGGTCAGGACCCATTCAGAGGATATTTTGGAGGCCATTGCTGCCTGGCCCAAACCAGCTGGTTAGACATGGTGTCAGTCAGTGGTCCTCTCCTAAACCGCAAGGGCTTCCGCACACCCCACCCTCCCCCTGCAACTCTTTCTTTCTCAAGTCAGAGAAAGACTGAGCTTTCAGACCACTGGGTGGAGGTTGGTATATAAGCTAAGAGTGGATATTTGAAGTTTGAAGACCAGATTGGGAATACTTAATATTTTTATGGGGGTGGGGGGGAAGCTAAGTTTAGTCTCCTTGTGCATGGGGTTTTTTTTGTTTGTTTGTTTATTTTTTTTTTTGTGGGAAGGATTTGTGGTTATCATTCACAGCTTGTAGATCTGCAAGATTTACCCATCAAATTGCTATGAAGCTGATGGGCATCCCTGACTCAGGATGGTTTCCAGAGGATCCTTTTTTAAGCCTTGCTGTTCTTTAAAATGTACAAAAATTTTTATGCTACATAAGATTTTGGAGAACAGAAAACAATGACCTCCTTTTTTAATATAAAGAATGGAATAGAAAATATTCCCATTTCTATAGTTCTTGGACTTGATCTTCCTTCTAGGAAATTAGATGATAGTCAAAATTGGGACATTTGTCATAATGAGACTAAGTTGTATGAAGTACCTGAAATAAATACAATTTATCTTTTTAAGTTGCATCGTAGAACATTGTATCTGAAACAGACCTTGTTCAGCAACTTTACATGTGACCCACGAGAACACTAGGATACAGGCAAGCCAAGTGAGTTCCCAAGGTCACAGAGCTACAAGAGCAGGGTCTAGAAGAGAACCCAAGGCTCTTGAACTCTGGGGCGGTTTTCCTTCCCTCTCCCACATCTCTGGGAGCTAAAGATACAACACGGAGCAAAAGAGAGACAGCCTCGGCCCTCACAAACCCACTGCGTACACAACATAATCAATCCTACCTCAGCAGATAGACTAAAAATACACACTCCAGCTTCTCCCAAATTCTCTTCTATGAAACACTGGTTCCGTGAGATATCAATAGATGCCATATGAAAGGGCCAGTTTTACACTGTATACCCATAGTGATCCTGATATGGATAATCTCTTTGGACCAATCAGATAGCTTTTTGTCTGATACAATGTGGCTAGTGGTTCTAAAGTCATAATTTAATTACACTTTCTCAGCTTTACTTGAAGGATGTGAACATAGACTAAGCAGAAGCATGTGCCCTTCTTTATGAAAACTCTGCTTTGCTGAGCCTTAGTCATTCACCACCAGCCGTCACCTTGCATTTCCTAGTCAAGGAAGACAACGTTTAAGCCCAGAATGTTAAACTGAAATGAATTGATTTCACTAGACTGTATTCACTACTTCTGGGGGAAAAAAATGTTTTCTTGATTTCAAATGCAGTATTAGGAGAGGAGTAGTACTATTAAAGAAAAGAAAGTAAGTCCATTTGAGGGTTTTCCAAAAGTAGTAATTTTTTAAAAACAATGCAGAGAAGCTCAAGCATACTAGAGTGGATTTTATCTAAGACTCACAGCACCATCCTTTTTGTGACATATGAAGTCTTCGTGTTAACAGTTAAAATTTATCATCATGGAGTACCTTCCGTGGGAGAGTAATGGTTCCCAAGGACATGGTCTGACGTTCTAAAGGCAGCCAGATATAGGATGCAAGGGCTTATTTTACAAAATAAATTAAGCAAGATAAATTACGCAGCAATTTAAACTGTCATATAAAATGTTTTGAAAAAAGAAAAAAAAACACTCTGGTTTTAAGGACAATATAATCTTAAAACTGGCATGCATCATCATGCAAAATATTCCATTTGTTTTCGCCTTTCTGGTAGAATTGGTTCAATGTTATTACTTAGCCAGGGACAGAACTTTTCTAAAACACTTCAGTCATTCACCAGAACTTCAGTCAGGCATTCAACTCAATATAAATTGTCATCACCCAATCAAGAGCTTTTCACAGGAAAAGAGACTGTCTGACTTGATCCTTTTTATATTGCTTAATCCACGGTTCACCTTAGCTTGGGATTTTGAAAATTCTTTCCTCAAGCACAATGATAATGGTCTGTTCAAAGTTACTCTAACTTCATTATAATTAAAGTAATTGCTCTAATTCTTGCTAGAATGTTTCTTCCTCATTTTGATTTAAGCCTTGCTAAAGGAAACATCACAGATGGCAGTAGGTTCTCCAGATACGAAATGTCCATATCAGGAGTTGTGCTTCCGATGAAACTTTGCCAGTAGCTTTGCCCACCGCAGACAGAAGTGGAGAGAAATCATCCGCAGTTCGTGGCCCAGGAGGTTCTGTCTCAGAGCCTGTGGAGTGTGCTGCACAAAGTGGGAGGGGAAGGGTAGAAAGCCCTAAGACTAAGATAAAACTCAATTAAAACAGCTCCTTATTATAAAATCTATTTCTTGCCCTCCACAATATCGTTTTTCTACTATAATACATTTATTGCACCTTACAGTTCATTTATTAAAGATGTTAGATACCTATAACAACATTTTTTCTTATTGTTAGACATAATGTTATAGTTATTTCAAGGAAGAGAAAACATTTTCAAGGAGGAACATTTTAATTAAACACAATAAAAAAAAAAAAAAAAAAGAGTGTCTTTTTTTTTTTTTTTTTTTTGGTGCCAGGCACTTTCCCGTGCATTATCTCATTTAATCCTCCTAACTATGCAAAGAAAGTTTTCTCATTCTCACTTTTGCAGCTGAAAAAATCAAGGCTAAGGGAGAGCAGAAGCGTATGCAAGGACACACCAGTACCAAGTGGTGTGGCCTAGATGTGAATCTAGCCAGTATTCTTTCTACTACACCACTTGATACTTATTTTTCTGTAATTGTGACCCTTATAAGGCATGTACAGCTGTTCTGTTGCAGTAAATTAGGAGAAAAGACTGTCCCAGATTGCTCAGTATGAAGGGGTTTCCTCACATGAGGGAATTTGGTGCTAAAACTGAGAGAGTCTCAGGAAAACAAGGCAGTTGGTTACATTTAAAGCTCAAAAATATTCAGTGGGATGGGTTCATTTTCATAAATTATATGAATAGTCTTTCAACACTCCAGAATAGTATAATTCATCATTTATTTCTCGATCTAGTGGTAAGTAGGGGTTTTCCCAGGAGGCTTACTCCAGCAAGCTCTCCTGCCTTTCAGGGTCTCTTCTCCTCTTTCTGATCTTTACCAGGTGTGGGAATTTGCCTTAGGAAAAGTGACACCTTTAGAGTACAGTCGACCCTTGAACAGCATGCTCTTGGAATGCACGGGCCCACTTATCCGTGGATTTTTTTTTTCAATAAATACAGTACGGTACTGTAAATGTATTTTCTCATCCTCTTGATTTTCTTAACATTTTCTTTTCTCTAGCTTGCTTTATTGTAAGAATATGGTATATAATACATATGACATACAAAATATGTGTTAATTGGTTATATTATTGGTAAGACTTCTGGTCAGCAGTAGGCTATTAGTAGTTAAGTCTTTGGGGAGTCAAAATTTATATGCAGATTTTTGGCCATATGGGGGTCAGCACCCCTAACCCCTGCATTGTTCAGGGGGCACCTGTAAATATAGACTCTCCCAAGGTGACCACAGAGGCATGAATGAGAGGTCTTTCCCCAAGCCCAGCCCAGCCCAGATTCTTTTATGTGAAATCATTGCCCAGAGAAAGCTCAGTGCTCCCAAATGAAAGCTGAGAATCTGGTTCTATGGTTTTAGATTGTTCCAGCCAATGTGGGAATCCAAGTCCACTCTAAGGTGTGAGCCCCTGTCCTACAATCGTGCTGGAGAGAGCACCCGTCCCATTTGGCTTCTCCTGTGCCCCAGAGCTGCATGCCTGCCATGCTCCCATGTGCTGAGCTGTACAGGACAGAGTGGGAGACTACTTGGGTACAAGCCCGCATGGCCTGCTAACTTCCACTCTCCCTCCCTGGCTTCACACTTCCTAGAGTGGAATTTGCCTAATTATAGGAAATAGCTGGGTGCAGCACTTATTAAAAATTGGACAAACCCAAACCAGCCAAAACTGATTTTAAAACAAATAGATATTTTTAAGAAAATAAAAGGAAATATTAATGTAATAGTGAATTGCCTATATTTTCACTCTTACATTACTTACTTTAGGGGAGTTGAAAGTTTCAACCCATAATCCCTTTCACTCTCATTTTCTAAGCAAGGACACATTTTGCCCATAGTCAAGATAAAGAGTCTCGACTGCTTCTGTTATAGCTTCTCTCCTGGCAGAGCAGAGGGTGGAAATTCAGACTGATTCTATTTGTTCTACACCATGCTCCCTAAACTGTTGGAAAGCACCCCACAGCAGACATGGATTAGCGTATATTCCTAGACATGTATATAGACAGAAGACACGGGGCTTTGTAGAGATGATGCAGCCTAGAAGCAACTGGTCCCTTTCTTGGGTAAAGGAAGACTTCTAGTTGGGCAGACACAGGCAGCCTTTTTATACCAGAACATATCCAGAGTGCAGATAAACACACTTGACTGGATCTCCGGTTGGCAAATTACTGGACTTCTGTAAAAACATCAGAATAGAATAGACAAAGGAAGGTCAATTTGCTGGTGCCAGATTCTCATTAAGAAAATTTTAATGAAGCTGCATTTGTGTTTTTGGTTCCTAGGGGAAAATAAGCTGGTAGGGGACCTTCTGGTCTTAGGAGGAGCCACGTTATACGGTATCTCCAACGTCTGGGAAGAATACATCATCCGAACCCTGAGTCGAGTGGAATTTCTGGGGATGATTGGACTCTTCGGGGCTTTTTTCAGTGGAATTCAATTGTGAGTAAAAATAATAAGAAATTCAGACAGGAGAGACTCTTGGGGCTTATTCTAATTATTTTCATTAAGGTACAGTGGGTCTTTTTATTTTATAAAAATCAAGGCTGGAAACCTTTCACTAACCTCCTCCATGAAACCTGAAAACTCAATATTTTTCTTAGTAAATTTCTTCAAAACTAAAGAAGTTTATTATCAATGATTAGAAAACCACCTAGTTGACTTTGAACACAATTTACAAGAAAACAGTAGAAGTACATTGATTCTCCTAAGTCAGCCAGTGGTTTTACTTAGAGAAGTAGAATAACAAAGTATAAATGCCATGATTTGATGCACTTCTGAAAAGGGACACCTGCTTACTACTGACAACTCCTACTAGAAAACTTATAGTTTAAGTTGGTCCTTTCCTAAGTTTGCTCTTTTATTGCCCAAGGATTTGCCTGAAGGAACCATATTTCAAATTCATCAATTAGAATAGTTTGGTGTTCCTCTTTTCCTTAAACAGATGAAGATGAAACACAGACATTCACCAAGCATCAGAAAGTCCAAAACACCAATTTTGCAGTAATCCTGCATTGGAGCATATAAGTCATCACTGACTAGTGCCTCAGAATTGTAGTGAGAGTAAGTGTCAGACAAAGCATACTTTTCCATCAATAAAGACCGTATGTTTTAGTTTCATGTAAGGGGTGAAGAATGATGGTATGGTCCCCAGTCTAATTTCACCAAATCCTTTTCTACAAAGCAAGTAATTCTAATTTCACCAAATCCCTTTCTGCAAGGCAGGTGCTTTGTAATTGTTTTGGTTCAGTATCTGAAATTATTTATGGAAGATATTTTGGCATCACCTTAAACATGTTTTGCCAGTAGGCTGTTTCCAAGAATCCTCCAAATTTTGGTATCCCGAGATACAAGGGAAAAGCTCCATAGCAAACAAGGCACGAATATGGGGAAAGTCTCCGAAAAGGATTTATTTTTGATTGATTTTGAAAGTGGGATGGCACTTTAAAGTTCCTAAATTTGGTGCTTCAGCTTTGTGAGAGGAAAAGAAATTGCCTGGTTCAACTATTCATGGCCAACATTTTGTAGATAGATGGATCATTTTATGGATTATTATTCTTGAATCCAAAAAACATCATCAGATATCCAGTACTCATTTGCTTCAGTTACAGTCCATTCGAGCTAACGGAGCCCCTCAGCGCCACTGCTGCCAAAATAATGGAAGTGGCACGTGGCTGTGGATGGCAAATGGGGTGCACTGAGGGTATGCTGCAACCAACGTATTTCTGCTGGAGTGGGGCCAGCTTCCCCTCCGGGTCCTCTTCTAGAGCCGTGGTTCTCAAAGCATGTTTCTCTGGCCAGCAGCACCTGGCACCGCAGGAGACCTTGCCAGAGATGCACATCTATGGGCCCCACCCAGATCTGCTGAACCGTGAGATGGGGCACGAGAAACTGTTTCAACATGCTTTCCAGATGGCTTTTTTGTACCGTAAGGTTTGAGAACCACTGCCCTAGAAAATCCTCAATCAGAAAACTGACTTAAAACAACAACAACAACAACAACAACAAAAAACCGACAACAACAAACCTGGTTAAACCTGCAAGCACAGAAATTTTCCATACCTCACCATTGGCGTCTAAGCAAGAAGAAATCAAGGCCGCAGGCAGACTCTTTGGGGAAAAGGCCAGTGGAAGGTTGGAGCGCCACCATGCCCGCTGACACCCTCACGCTGCTGGCCACACCTTCGGGGGAAACCTCAGGCTGCCAAAGTAGACTTCCCTGGCCCTGGCCCAAGGTTATCTTTGCAATGTGGCTGGTTGTTTTGTGACTTGTATAAATCTGGTAAATGAAAAAAGAAGGAAAAAAAAAAGGAGGACACATTATAATCTTGCTCATCGGGTCTGCTTTCTTTGAATTTGCAGAGCCATAATGGAGCACAAGGAGCTGTTAAAGGTGCCCTGGGATTGGCAAATAGGTAAGGAGTTTGCTCACCTAAAAACGCTGTTTTTAGTCAACCTGAGGGATATGTTTGAAGAGTGGTGTGTGTGGGCATGGGGCAGGAACCATGAAAGGATTCAGAACGCAGAGGACAAAGGAAAATGAAATCCCTTGTCATTTTAGGAATTCTTGTACACAGCGGGAGACTAAACTGTGTGATTCATAATGTTTCCTAATTGAGCTTCTGCCCGTTATCATCGTCAAGATGCCATGAGTGTAGACACAGAAGTATGGTATTAGGTTAAAGACCAACCAGAAAGAGAAAATGCCCAGAGGCAGTGGTGGGACGTAAATGACAGCAATTTTCTCTAGTAAAGAAACACAAAACTGATGTGATCATCAAAAGTGGCAGTTTAGTAAAGGGGAAAAAAATGAACAAAAAGACATAAAAGAAAACAATGTAATGGGTGTTTTGAGCCCATAAAAACCTTTTCAGAAGGGAGCACTTTGCACATAAGAAATGGTTAATTGATCTCCGGGTGGACTTGGTGGAAAATACGAGACACGCTTGGAGCTAGTTAAGAGTCATCCAGGTTCCAGATTCTCAGATTCCACCTGTTTCGAAAATCACTTTTCTCTTAAGAAAAAAAAATAGGACAAGGATTTAAAATCCTGGGCGATTGCTATAATGATCACACGCAGGCCCTAAAAGGAAATGGCATTTAAAACCTTCTGCCTAGATATCCCTTCAGTATCTATGCCAAGACGCATGGGGGCCAGCGGTGAGCACAGGGCTTGGCTTACAAGGGTGCTTGGAAAATGCTCGCACTGTGAATGTGGGTGCGAGGTGAAGCCAGATCGCCCACACTGAAGCTGGCTGCTGGAGCCACCTCCAGCGTATGTGAGTTTTGATGAGACTGACGGCTTCAGTCAAATTCTGCTTCCACCAGCAAGGACAGCAATGACATAAGCTTCCCGGCACCACTTCACCTACCCCCGACCTGGAAGCATCCAAGGCCAGCTTGCTGCTGACATAATCCCCCCTGAAGGCACCCAGCCAGCTACAGAATCAGGCATGACTCTCCCTGGGCGTTATCGCTAGTGACTTCAAGGGCTGACCAGCTCTTGTGTCTGTCACAGAATCCTGCCATTTATTTTCTTTTGAGTTTTGCTATAGAATGTTACCATTTAATGAAAATCACTAGAGGAGGGGGTGCGGGGAGGAGGGGAGGGGCAGCCGGGAAAGGAAACCAGCTGCAGGTTACAGATGCATTTGCCTTTGGGACTCTCGGAGCCAGGAAACAAAATGTGACCCGTACTTGGTAACACTTCACCCGCAGTGGTATAAATTCATTTCATAGTAATAGTCACAGCAATGATCGAAAATAATTTGTCCTCTAATGATACGGATGTCATGTGCATGTCCACTGAGGTTCTATTCTAACTCAGTTTTAGTTAAATGTGGCGTCAAAAGGTAGTTTTACTCTTAACTCTCCTATTGCCATTAAACTGTCAGTCCCCTGTAGTCCAAGCTGATGGAAGGCGGTATAAAAGGAATACGTTATAGAGCCATCAGTTTAATTCCTGGTTGGAAATGAGGCTGAAATGGGCAAGAAAGGAAGCCAGATGTTCATCCTTTTCTTTCCAAAGTGTCGATAGGGTTGGGTTTAAGATTTTTTACACGAGGGCTACCTCTGTCCTCGTTACCTCATCCTGACCAACTACACAGGGTCATGGTTTAGCTCAGTTCTGGGCATATAACATTCAGTGAATAAATGTTTACTAAATGAGTGAATGAGTGAATGGCAAGCAAAGGGGATGGGGCTTGTTCTGCCCTCTCTCATCTTTCAAAATATAGACAACAGCAGGGAAGTGGTGGGGCAATAGCGGGAGGTCTAGCCTTGACGTTGCTCTTTCTTTCTGGAGAACCGGGAGATGGCATACTAGCTCTGGGGACCGAGAGGCAAGGAGATATCAGGTGGGAGTGAGCGTCCTCTCTGGCATCTCTGCACTCCTTGGGAAGTCACCCAAGAGTGCCGAGCTCTGATCGCTGTGTCTGGTGGAAAGCTCACAGCGTCTTAGTTAAGAGACCAAAATCTAAGACTCTTCATCTCCCACCATCTGTCAAAGTGTTTCTCTCCCTCCCCTCTGTCCACATCAGCAATCCCCCTCACACGGTCTCTTGGACAGCTCATGCGGTTGACATTTTAGCAAAGTAAAAAGATTTTTTTTCTACGGAGCAAGTGGGATAATAAATGTATTTTATATTTTCTGCACTTAGATTCCACTATTTTCCTATAACACTTACAAGATCTGGAGAGTAATTCAAAGCAAGAAGACCACCTTTATTTTTGTGTGCTTTCTTTTTTTTTTAAAGATTTTATTTATTTATTCATGAGAGACAGAGAGAGAGAGACAGAGAGAGAGAGAGAGAGAGAGAGGCAGAGAGAGAAGCAGGCTCCCAAGGAGCAGGGAGCCCGATGCAGGACCAGATCCCAGGACTCTGGGACCATGACCGGAGCTGAAGGCAGATGCTTAACCATCTGAGCCACCCAGACGCCCTGTGTGCTTTATTTCTTTGTTTTACCCTACCCAACAGAGAGCCTGGGTCTGGTTATGTAATCGTTAAGTTCGAGTAAAATGTACGACCTAACAGCTCAAATGTCCTGTGGAGCAGGTGTGTTCAAATCACCGTCAGAAATCTAATAAATGGCTTCAACATTCCCTTTATCCCATTTACCATATTGTGTTAAAGGACGTGTGAACAAACACAAACTGATGTGAGAGCCGAACGTCAAAGAAAAGAAAAAGTGTGCTGTGGGTCATCAAGCACAGGTTCGTGGTATACAGGGGGCTCTTCTCAGCTCTGGTGGGTGATGCTCATTTTGGTTTTGGTTTTCTCCTGGAGGCCAGAGTAAGAGACTTGACCTTTCCCTGCAGAAGGAGTAATGGGACCACAGAGCGGGAAGGACCTTAAGTATAATTAAGAACGCACCCTTTTTACCAAGGTTGAATCAGTGGCCTGGGGAGGTGAGGCCACCAAGGAGGCACACGGCTGCCTGTGGGGGGGCGGGGATGGGTACGGATGTGCTCTCTCTGAGCAAGCCCCGCCCGCCTCGGGCCCTTGGCCGACTTAGCCTGATGCATATGGGCTAAGAAGCCATCTTTAAGAATTAAAAATAATGTTTTAAAAATCTAGTATATTCAAAGGAAAGTGAAAGAACATCAGTGGGATCACAAAGGGATGAGATAAAATATATTCAGCATACACGGACACACGCGTATATCATATCTAAAGGTATATCATAAGTCATACATCATGTATCTGTCATATATATATTATATAAAAAATGAGATGCTCATTAGAATCACATCGGATGCTCCATCAAAGCCCTGTTTCTCTTCATAACAATTAAACAATATAGATTGGTGGTATGTGCTCAGAATTTAAAGTCTGGCAGCCTGTGTCCTGAGGGCAAGTTACTCAACCTCTGTATGCGGGTTTTTCCTGTTTATTCACAGATCTATCTGTTTCTTACCCTTCCTCTGCTCTGGATTGCAGAGGCTGACTCATGCAAACTATACTTTCCAGGCTGCCCTGTTAAGGGGCTTCCAACTAGATTTGGCCAATGGGAGGCAGTAGGAGACTGGAGGGTGGGAGGAAGAAAGAAACCAGGGGGTGTCTCCCTGTTTCTCTCTGTTCGGGGTCAGGTCTCTAGAAATGGTTGAGTGCCCTCTGAGTGATTGATTGTACCTTTGCTGGGCTTTCCCCTTCTGACCCCTGGGAACATGGCTTCCTCCCTGGATCTCTCTAGTTCCAGGAGTGTGAATAACTTCCTGCTATTGCTAATCCTGATGAGGGTGCCTCATCATCCCTTTTCCCCTTATCTCCCACTCAAGCACCTTTGTGACTTATGCCGCATATTAGATATCTTCTATTGAACCTGTGGTATGGACTGTTTCTTAACTGATCCACTCTATTAGCCTATTCCCTTCCCTGTATAAAAAGGGTAACAATAGTAATGGTGTTCTATGGTTATAGATATTAGTTAATGCATCTAAAGTACATGGCACGTAACAAGCACACAATCGATATGAACCGATAGTATTCTTTCTAGTTTCTTTAACTTAAATCTCTTTAGTGCATGAGGACAACAGCTACCACATGCTATCTTTTGAGAGAGAGAGCATTGCAAAGAAGAAATGGCTATACACGTACCTTGTCTATAAAGGTAGTTGTTGCAGCCATTATATATAGCTGCCAGTCAAAAACTTACTCAGTTCATTTGTTTGATCACATGGATTGTTTGACTGAAAACCCTGCATGGACAGCACATTGGGTCTTCAGATGTATTGCGAACATCCACGAACTAGCTCACGTCCACCTCCGAACAGCACATTAGCAAATTGCACCAACACTGCCTCCCCATTTCAGCGTGATCATGAGTTCACGTGGCTGACTACGTTCTGCTCGCAAAACAGGATGTTCCCACGCAAAAACATTGGTTGACCTAGCAAAGCGATGAACTGTGATGGCATAGATATTCCATCCCTGTCCCCCTAAATTTAATTCCTGTAGTTTTTAAATATAGGCTTAGAGTGTTTAAGCTTGAAGCACCCTGACGTCTCCTGATGAGTAGAGCGAAACTCTGCGGTGGATCTAGTTCTCTCCTCTCCGTGGCTCACCAGTCAGACGGTCACCGCTTCTCTGAGCCCGCTAATTATATATCCAGCTCCTTCCTGGACAGATCCTCTTGGGTGATGTGTAAGCGTCTAAAACTAACGTGTGCAACACAGAGCTTTTTATTTCCCCTGAAAACCTGTCCTCTCTCCATTCTCTGCATCTCGGTAAATGGTGCTATAGTTCACCCAGTTTCTAAACTAACCAGAAACTCATGAGAACCCATGGGTATCGTTGCTGGCCCCTTTCTCCAGCCTATCACCAGGGCTTGCTGAATGTCCCCAGACCCAGCCACTCTCCTCCATCTCCACTGCCATCCCGAGCAGAGCCACCAGCCTCTCTTGCCTGGACTAGGACACTGCCCTTCTCGCCGGTCCTCCATGCTTTCTCCCACCGGTCCCTTCTCGGCATAGCAGCCGGAGTCCTCGTTTAAGGATGTGGGTCTGGTGTTAGCCACCTGCTACCAGCTCAATGGCTTCCTCTTACAACTAGAACAAGATGTCGATTTCCTTCCTAGACCTACACAGCCCTGCGTAATCCATCCTCTGCCTAATTTTCCACCCTCATCCCTTCCCACTGCCCCATTCTGTTCATTCTGCACAGATGTCCTGGCCCCTGGCAGCTCCAGGAACACATGAGGCCCTGTCATCAGGGTTTTTCATTTGCAGATCTCCTTGCCTAAAATGTTCTTGCCCTGGCTCCTCCCTGGCCATCTCCTTTCAGTCCTTCAGCATTCAAAGGAAATGCCGCTTGCACAAAGAAGCCTTAGCTAGTCACCCTTAATGAAGCAAACCCCCTGCCATTCCCTAAAATGAACATTTTTTTTTCCCCGTCTTAGCATTAAAGCAACCCTAAGGTTCTCCTCTATTCTGTTTTCCATTGCTTGGCTAGCCGAGGGTAGAGTAGGTCCTCAGGGAATACATGGTTGAATAATTGAGTGAATATAAAACGTCAGATCCCACATGTGAGAGTCTACAGTGTGCCAGGTAAGGTGATGGAAGGGTAGGATTCTGGAGCTTTTGAGCTCAATCATATTTAATTTAAATCAGTGATGCAATTAAAAAAAAAGGCTCTGGTGCCTGGACTATGTTCTGACCAAGTTTGATTTTTAGTGGAGTTTTAGTAGATTAAGAATATAGCTTGTTCTTCATCTTTTAATCCCAGATTTTTTGAAGGAATACTGAATTAATTTTATGTCTTCTCCTGCATTGATCATAAATTAGTTAGTACTGCACTTTTAGTAACTTGGTTAAAAAGAAAATGAATTATAAGTAGCATGAAATCCAATTACAGGAGAATTGACTGTTTTTAGGGAATTAGAACTTGTGATGGAGTCAGAAGCTATCTGATATTAGTATCGCAGAATATCCGCAAGAGGACTTCTACTTGACCGAGCAAGGAAAGTGGTTCTTCCAGTTTCCTCTTAGGGCATTTCCACCACACTAGAGGGGGCTATTGTACTGAGTTTGCTTACTTAAAGTTCAGAATAATCTTTTCATATAGATTTGATGTGGCTTTCCTTAAACTGAGAATCAGAAATGTATAGGATGATATTTATGCCCTTATATAGTTTTCATATGGGAAAACCAAATTTCTCTTCGGAGGAATCACTTGTATTCATAGTCAAAGGACTAGGTGTCCAGTACCTACTAAATCCTCCCCAATTCACAGGATTCAGACGAAGCAATCATCCCACAGCCCACACCAGACACATTTACTCAAGGATTCCTTTGGAAAGGTTGGATGCTTTTATTATATTAAAATGCCCAAAGATCCACTGAATTATGTTACTTATGCTTATTCTTTGCTTTATTTTGTCAAAGTAGAGAATGAGCATTATTTTTGTACATTTGTATTGTATCTCGACCTAGTAAAAGGTAAACCAAATTCTGCATTTAGCCATAAACTCCTGCTTGGGACCCGGCAGAATTGTGTACTTATGGAATTAGTACTAGCAATTGTGTATCTAGTTATATTGAGAGAGAATTTTAGAGGATGAGAGGCTGACCATATGGCATTTTAAGGACTTTTTTTTTTAATCTTTCTGTTTTACAACACTTAGTTCTCTGATGATCTATGAAGCACATACCTAACAACTTCTAAAACAGCAGGGCCTACATGTGAGAACCCGCAGTATGCTAGGGAAGATGAGGAGGAAGTAGGACTCTGTTTAATGGGGTATAGGACTGAGCAGGATGCACAATCTGGAAGAAATTCACAGGTCATCTTGTGCTTGGAGAATGAAGTGGTCTGCCCAAGGCCACCCAGTTAGGATTCCAATTCTGACTTAGTCCACATCTCTGTGATATGTAGGCCCTTCCATCTTGAGGACTACGTAGTTATTCATCACTGTGAGCAATACGTGGAACCCAGTAGTTTTGTTCCCATTTTGCAAACAAAAAAGAGAGTAAAAAAAAAAAAACAAAACACTTTAAAAGACATAGATAAAAAAGTAGAGTACAGCACCACTGGAAGTAGAATTAAGAAGGCTTGACCCCATATTCGGACTCTAGCCACTAAGAGGCACTCCTTCCCAGAAAAGGCAAAATATCAGCTATGTGGTGCGGAGCAGAAAGTTCATTTTCCACATGAAGATTTTTACTTTTTATTTTATGTTTTAGCTGTCTATTACCCAATAATAAAATCCGTTAGCAGACTGAAGAAAAACTCCTGTGTGCGAGGTAAACGGTGCACGCCGGCCCCCTTCTCCCACGCGCTGGGGTTACTCAGAGGCCCCGGAGGAGGCTGTCAGTCACTTCTCTTTCCTCTCCCCTCAGGACTGCTCTACGTTGGCTTTAGCGCCTGCATGTTTGGTCTCTACAGCTTCATGCCAGTCGTCATAAAGAAAACCAGCGCCACTTCGGTCAACCTCTCCCTGCTCACAGCAGATTTGTACAGCCTGTTCTGCGGACTGTTTCTCTTCCACTACAAGGTAAGTTGAGTCAGTGCTCCTCTGTGAAGACAATACTTGGTGGGAAATATCACATATAGGTGGAAATGCCCTGCAGTAGAATGCCCCTTCTGTGTAGACAAGTGGGAGTGCAACTCTGTTGCGCTCACCCCGCCGCCCCGCCCCCGCCCCGGGATCTAGGTATTCACATTTCCACTGGAACACAGAGGCAACATTTTGTCACAAGAGACCAGTAACTACAGGCACTTGAAAGGGAAAAAGATAAAGGAAGGGCTTTTGGATCGTGGGAGACAGTTTTCTCTGATACCATTCACCCCAGAAGCTTACTCTTTTTCCAGCCTAAAGCTAGGAAGATTTGTACAATTCCCAAACTAGAACCACAAAATGGATTCTACCAAAGGCACTGGCAGGGTACATTCTCATTGGAGCAAAGATCCAGTGCCTGCAATTTCTGTTTTGCAGATATTTTCATAGCAGGCATGAATGGGAAATGCTAATGCACTCGAAATATTGTTTCTTCACCGAAAGATTAGGGGTTGGAGTAAATGAATGCAGAGAACTTGTGAAGCATTTACAGTTCAAGATATCAGCCCAAGGAAAAGAAGGAAGTGTTCTGTCTAAAGATAGCAGTCTCTTCAAATGCAAGACTACCCACACGCTCACCCACGGCAGGCAGGACTCATCCGTTATGGCTCACCGAAGTCAGATGCCATCTTGTAAACACCGCGCTCACTTCAGACATTAACAACTGATTAGGATTGGTATAGGAGAAGAGACCCATTTCCCATTCCTTAACTTGTCCTATAAGATAAGTGTCAGCGGGGACTATGACCAGGGTGAAAATGGACGAGTATGAAGTATCCAAACCAGGTAAGACCAAACTAGGACAGGGAAAGAGGAGTGGCAGAAGAAAAAGATATTACTCCAACCACTTCTAGCCAAGGGCTTCATCAGTGATGTTACAGTTAACACCACCAGCCCATGGGTGTGGCCAGCTGATGCCTCTCGGTGGGCAGGGCATCTTCAACCAGGTCAAACTGGGTTTGGAGGTTCCCTGAGAAGCGCTGAGCTAGAGGGAGTATGTACTTGAGTTGACCCGAGGTAAAGCAGCGGAAGTGAATATTCAAAAATATGACTGGCTAAGCCAGTCATAGCCAGGAGCCAGACTAAGTAGGGCAGGCAGGGGTGGAAAAGCGGTCACAAACAAGGTTAGCAGAGAGGACCAGAAGCAGATCTGGAAGACGAGAGGTGGAGAAAATGGCCATGGCAGAAGACAGGGATAATGTGCCCAGTCCCTATTTTACAAGGAGCCCTGTGTCCAGTGTGGTGGCCAAAATGACAGCTGAAAGAAATGGTGTAGGACTAGACAGCCTTTATACATCTTTTGTGATTAGTTTTGTCTAGCTGGTCCCATCTCTGTCTCCTGAGCACACCCTGGTCCTCACTAGGGCAGAAAGAAAAGTCACAGCCCATTCCCCCATTGCTCCCCGCTGCACAGCTGGGAGAACCAGCTTCCCTGAGATGCCCCTGGCAACACACCCAACTCTTTTCCAGAGCCCTGGTCTTACGGTACGGCACAGTGGCCATCATTTTTCTTCTCTATGCTACGGTCAGGCATCCACAGCTAGTGTGTTCCCAAGTGTGACTTGGATTGCCAGCAGTGATTCCTGTGGCTGTTTCGATAAGCTCCTGAACTAGACAGATCTCCTGAATCCTCCTTAAGGAAAGATGACTGGAACCTATTCTTACTGAGGACCGCAGGTGCTTCTCGAGCAGCCAAGATCCAGTCCGGTCCTCAGAATCCCTCATAGCAGCCTTCCCAAGAGTCTCCTTTCCCCAGAAGGACTGGCTCACCCTTCAGATCCATGGGCCACACCTCTGAGCCACAGAACTGGAATCTGGGGATGTGTCTGGGGAAGTCTGCACCATTACTAGGCTCCCCTGTGAAGCTGATGTTCTCTGACAGCTGGAAGGGACACCTGAAGAGCACCCATTCCTATTGGAGTGTCTCTCCTTACGCTTGCACTAACTTCCGGTTAGACCTGGGGCTCTCCTCGTGAATGAGCGTCAGTTCTAACTCTCTGCCATCCATCTTCCCCTCCCAGGCTTTGTGGGCTACTACTTACTTAGGATAAAGAAGTTTGCTGAAGAGGAAACCATGTAGTAACACTCCATCATGCCATCAGAAGGGAGGCTGTGTTAGCTGAAAATTGTGTTCATCAATTTGGAGGTGTCATGGCTGTTTTTATTTCTTAAAGCAATGTTTCACTATATACATATATTGTGTTGCTATCTAACAGATACATTTCTTTAATGCAACGATGGATTCAACACAATAAGTATTTTCTCTAGTTAAAATTGATTCCTATTGTCTTTTTTTAAAATTAAACTTTCAAGATAATAATGGATTCACATGCAGTTTTAAGAAATAATACAGGGAGATCCCCATTTGCCTTTTACCTAGTTTCCCCCATTGGTAACATCTTGCAAAACTATAGCACAACGTAAGGATATGAACACGAAGGCCATGGGCACACAGAGCATGTTCACCCCCACGAGGGCTCACATTGCCTTTCACAGCCATACCTACCTGCCTCTCACCCACCTCTGTACTGCCGCAAAGCCTCGCTTCTGTTCTCCGTCTCTCTAAATTTGTCACTTCAAGAATGGCATGTACAGTATATAACCTTTTAGGTTTGACTTTTTTCACTCAGCATAATTCTCTAGAGATTCATCCAGATTGTTTCGTATGTCAGTGGCCCATTCCTGTTTATTGCTGAGCACTATTCAATGATATGGATGTACCACAATTTATTTAACCATTCCCTCAGTGAAGGACATCTGGGTTTTCTCTATTGGGGGCTATCACAATAAAGCTGCTCTGAATATTTATGTACAGGTTCTTCCATGAACAGTTTTCGCTCTGAAATAAACACCCAAGAGTCCAATTGCCAGGCGTATGGTCGTAACATGTTTAGTTTTATAAGAAACTGCCAGACTGCTTTCCAGAGTGGTCTGTTGTCTATTGGAAATACATATTCATCGTGAGAAAGTCAGAAAATACAGATAAGTACTGTTACACATTGGTACAATTTTATAGTATATATGTTAATTTTATGGTAACCAATATTACAATATAGACAATGCTCTACTTCTTTCCCTTCACTCTCATTGTACTTAGAGTTGACTCCTCACCTCTTAGTTCTTGAATACACACTGCCTTGTAGTGTTCTTTAATTGTTTTATGAACAATGGTATTTATTATCTGCAAAAAAATAAGTTAAATACTCAACTTAAATCTAAAAATTAAAAAAAAAATCTTCCCTTTGCCTATTTTCTAAAAGAATCTTCCAAGCAGTGCTTCAATTTTCAGTCAAATAGTCATTGTTTGGAAAATCCAGTATTTTTTTTTTCTGGGATCCAACTTACCTGCCTCTGAAATTGGCCTTGGGCTTCCCAGAGATGGGAGGTGCTCTAGAGCTGGGGAGAAGGGTGGGTCTGAGTGGCTTGTAAGTTTCCCACTACAGCCGGATGGGCCATCTCAGAAAATTGATTTTTAAATAATGCTTATTGGAGGTACCTTTATCATTATGAGCATTTTCTAGTCAATGGAAAAATCTTGGCAAATTTTACAAAATTCAAAAATGGTGATGTCAGGGGATGGAGCGTGTGTGTGTGTGTGTGTGTGTGTGTGTGTGTTTTGGGATGGGGAAAAGGTGGTTATATTTTCATGTGTCTTCTTTGAAGAAATGTCTATTTAAATTTCTTGCCAATTTTAATTTGGTATTTGTTTTTTAATCATTGATTGTAATATTTCTTTATATATGTTGGGTGGTATACACCTATCAGATATATGATGTGTAAATATTTTCTCCCACTCGGTGGTTTTTTTTTTTATTTTCTTGTTAGTTTCCCTGGAAGCATAAAAGTTTTTAATTTTGATGAAGTCCAATTTATCGATCTGGTTATACTTTTTAAAACATGAAGGGAACCAGGCCAAATCCCACCATGGACCCCGGGCCACCAAGTCTTCCCTGATGGTCCCCAACAGTACCCCTGTCCAGGGCTGCTCAGTAGTGATTGCCAGTTACTTCAAATTGCCTGCTCTGAGGGGATGGATGAAAGTCACAGCCTAACGAAGAGAAAATCCAGTTCAGGGAGGGAGACTTTAACTATGTAAAGAGTGTAGTGGGGAAGAGAGTTTAAGCCAGTGACCCTCAACCTCGGCTGCACATTGGAATCACCTGAGAGTTTTAAAAATATTGATGCTTGGGTCCCACTCCCACTGATTCTGATTTATGCAGTCTGCAGTACACCCTGGGCTTGAGATTTCTAAAGGCTCCCTAGATGATCCTATTATGCGGCTGCAGGCATGTGGACCTAGGACCAAAGGGCAAAGATTATAAGATTATGGCTAAATATAAGGAAATCTTGTTAGCATTTAGTCATCCGAAAGTGGAATTGACTGTCTTGGGAGTTCTTTTCGCTGGAGGAAGCTGGACAAGAATGCGAGAGGAACAATGTGGAGGGGCCTCCCACTTCAGTACTGAGGATTGACCAGGGACCCCTGAGATCTCATTTGGTTTTACTACAGTCTGCACGTATAGTTTATTCCTTCCCTTAATCATGGTGCCTTTACTCTAAATAACCTTCTGGTCGGGTTATAAATATCTGCAAGTTGAAAGGGGAGGGCTATTTGCTCACGGATGTTGCTTACCCAGGCAGAACTAAATGATTAAATGAACCTCTCCTGCCCAACATTGATTATTTGCTTTTTCTCACTTTCCACCCTTGGAAAAAAAATCCATTCCCTTCCCCACCCATCAGTCCACTGTCTGCACCTTCTCCGCCTCTTTTGAGTGCTGATTGCCGTGCTGACTGGACAATGAAGCCCCACGTCCCAAGGAAGCAAATGACTGGATCCTGCATTAGACGCCCTGCATGGCGTAGCGCTCTCACAAACTCTATTTTACAAGACTTTTGAGAAGTGGTTATATATTTCTGTTCTTATTACCTGACAA